CTACCGCATCGGCACACAAAAATAGCAAAGGAAAAAACACGTGGACGATATTTATGACCTCAAATACACAAATATGGATTTCTATGTCTGTGCAGGTATCGTTTTTAATTATTAACAGAGGGGAATTCCGTTTTCTTGTCAGGTCTACGCTTAAAGTCGTATTCTTGATTTCGAAGGTCACATAGCAAGTAGATTTAGAAATTACGCAAATCTATAGTAATTCCTCTTTTTCTCTTTGTTAACAAAAGTGGTAGAGAAATAGTTTCCTTCGTGAGCACAAGGCACCCGCTGATTTTTAAATATACTTTATTTCAATAACCTATGTATTTACTTCTCTCTTCTTCATTTATCCATCATACATGTACCTATTCGCTTCTTTAATTTACTAAACTCTAAATTTCCCTTTATAAGGAGGTGACGACCTTCCACTTTCGCGTATGCATAATAGATGACACTGGTTATGGTGGCCCGCGGCGCAATGTGACTGTAAATTACTTGGTCATCGGAGGTAACCTCAAGTATTTAACATTTCGTTCATGACCCTAAATCAATTAACTGATTCTCCAACGAAGATCAGTCTCTCCTTTTTTTTTTTTGCTTTTTTAATTTTGTTTTCATCAACATATATTTTTTTTCTTTTAGATCTTCATCCTTGCATAGATATAGAGTGCGAGAAATTTGCTCATTGTGTGGCAATATCTCCGCACGAATACACTTGCCAATGTAACACAAGCTGCCCTTCTTACGAAGAACAGGTCTGTGCTTCTAATGGCAGAACATTCTCCAACTTGTGCCTTCTAAATAAAGAAATATGTGATACAGATGCAAACTTTACCATCTATCATCCAGGAAGCTGCACAGGTATCTCTTTAGTTGCCACTTCATATTCTTGATGCGAATGATGCACCGAAAAAAGACTTTCGTACATATGGTTAATGGGAGCATGGGAACGAGTAGCCTCGATTACCAGCCGCTGTTAAGGAATATGAGCCCGAGCTCCTTCTCCCCGAACCCCCCTCTTCTCGAGAGGAGTGAAGACCGGACACGAGAAAGCCTCGCAAATCGAGCCTAAAGGACGAGGGGAGCGGGGATTTTCAAACGATAAGAAATTTTGGCGAAGACTGGGCGATTATTTTATGAAAATACCTCTATTTTCTCGGTTTCAAACTTACCATACATTTCACTTACCAGCTTTAACATTTTCGTTGTAGGTTTTCCGTTTCAGACAGGGAGACACAAATTCCAGAACATTCCAATTTGGGCAGAGGATCAGTGCGAGACTTTTAACTTTCAACGGTTCGTGTTCTACCCACACAGTAAAATACACGTGCAACTCACAGTTAACCATGTCAATTATTCGGATGCTTCTTTTGTTCACGAAGCTGTTACAGCTTGGGTTGAAAGCGTTAACACCACTCAGTTTACAGCCTGTGTCACTCGAGCAGGAAGAAATGACTACCCTGCAGACAGTTTTGCTTCGGTTGATTGGATTGCATATCAAGGTGCTCCCACAGGAGGAATTTCTGGTGAAGAATTATTTCCCACTTGGTGGACTGGGACTATTTGTCAAACAGTTACTATTCCCAGCGTAAGCATCTTACCAAACTTTTTTTTTCTGGTTGCTATTTCTATTCCATTGATCTAAGGATTAGCGTTGGACCCAAAAGAGGCCTCACATTGCCTTATCAATAGTATGAAAATTGTTTTGTTAGAAAATAGACAGGAGAAGTGGAAACTTCATTTTGTAAGAATCAGTAGTACCCATTTGCATTAGTGTAAGGCTAACCCCTGCGAGAATGAAAGATAAAAATAAAAATAGGAAAAGGAGGGAAAGGGGGTGGTTAATTGAAAATCTCACACCTATATACTAGTGGCCTCGATATTTGAGATCATATTGATTCTGCTCTTCTTACTGCTGCTGTTTACTTCTGCTTACGCATTATACATTACAAAGTTAATGTATTTTCCCGTGGGAAACAGTTTGTTTTGTTTTCCCGAGGGACCATACATTAATTGCTTTGCTACATATTTAGACTTTCCCTTAAACAATCATGTGGCAAAAACAAACAAACGACTGTTGTATTCGACGCGCAGGCAACTCCGCGATGGTATCCCGGTCGGGATACATTTGAATTTGATCAGGGGCACGTCACCAAGAATCAACCAAGTCCAGTGCTCGTTTTGTTGGGTGAAAGTCAAGGTATATAACAATATTACTCGTTCTGGCTCCCAAGCAAGTCACAGAAAGAGTGTACTGATCACTTCCTCAGTCAACGTGTGTCTAATCTAGTTTCGCAATTTGCATCTCAGGGAACATATTCCAATCCACCAACGGTATTTGTGACAGCTAAACACCACAGGAAGGGTCTGAAGCATGATGCTGCGAGTGTTTGGCTCGAAGACGTATCAGCAGCCTCCTTCAAAATCTGCTTGAGGGAGCTTCAAAACTTCGCTGGTGTTCATGAAGAAATATCAGTTGTAAGTTTTATCAAATCTGGCGGCACGATTATCTTATCTAACAAGTAAACCCAAGTTACTATATGTGTATATATATGTATATATATATATATATATATATGTATATGTATCTATATATATACATATATATATATGTATATATTTATATATATATATATATATATATATATATATATATATATAAGTATAATATATTTTATTTGGAACTACAGTTCCATATACGATGGTAATTGGTAATTGGCCTCTTTTCCATCATCATCCATTTTTCTGATGTCTTCATCGTAGGACTGGTTAACATTTGATCGCCCTCCGGAACCTCTGATTACAGAGCATAATGATGAATATTTCCCAAATAACGGCCCACCTCCAAGGAGTCATAACTTTGCCTTCTGTCAGGTTAGCTCTGGAAACTGTTATCACGTATCTTTGAATGGTCGCTTAAGAATTAAAGATAAGCGCAATTTAAAAGTAATTTAGATTTTTCTCTCCTGTCTGTGAAAGAAAATACGCTTGTCACTTTTCAGGACATGAAATTTACTCAGAACTACACCAAACCGCCGATAGTTCTGCTTACTGCAAAACATTCTACCAGTGGACAAGACTCTGCCGCTGCAGAATGCAATGGAATCGAAAGTTGGGTAGAGGTATGGCTATGGCCATTTCATAAAGATTGAAGAATTTCTACAGCAGATTTCTATATTACCTTACGTTTATTATCATTATTTTGATTTTAAGTTTTTTCTTTGCAGTTTATTACCAACACAAGTTTTAGAATGTGTGTCAAAGAACTTTTCATTCAACGCTTTGATCCTCTTACCTTATCGTACGCAGTGTTGCCAGGTAATGGAGGTTTGGCAAATTTTGTAAAATAATAAATATAACTTTGCTCTCATGTTCAAATAATTAAAGTTTCATAGGAAGTTTTTGACGTCTGTTTTCATTGTTGTCTGGGAGGGAACACCCTCGCCTTTCTGCTGTTAAATTGATTTGGACTTAAGTTAGCGCATGTTTAACTACAAGTAATTTAGTGTTAACAACTGAGTTGAAAACGTAAATTGGCCACCGTAAAGGGCGAAGAAAACTGACGTTTGGAGCGTTAGCCCTTCGTCAGAGCGTTTGATTTCGATCGCTCTGACGAAGGGCTAACGTTCCAAACGTCAGCTTTGTTCCCCCTTTACAGTGGTCAATTTACGCTTTCAACTCAGTTGTTAACGCTAAATTACCTGCTATACTCTCCCACAGACGCAGCACCACAGTTTCTCTAGAAACTTATCCCCTTTATTCATTTAACTACGAGGCTACGAGCCTTTATTTTGTGCTTTTTATATGACATTTCTTGTCTGAAAAGCGATAAAAATAGTTCGATCCTTGTAAAGCTTGTGAAACTTTCATAGATAAGCTCAAACCTGAAAGCTGACCTCGACCTAGTCGCCCTTTCTGGCTTTCATTCAAATTTATCAGGGAGCAGGGATGTTTAGTTAAGGCGATGATATAACGAGCACATAGGATAACAAATCTGCAACTTATTACACCGCGTCACCAACGAATGGATTGTTCCTATAGTAAGCGATTTAAACGTATTTACATCTCGTAACTAGCACTTTTTCCTGTTTAAATGGTTTAATTCATCTCAAAAAAGAGTTAGCTGTGATGCCTCCGTTAGAGCGATTTTCGCTCAGGAGCTCAGCATCTAATTTCAAGTTCCTGGCTTGAAAAAGTCTCTCGACGATAGCTGCACTCCTCAAAACATGAACATGTCATTCATTTTATCGGCAAAGTCTTTTAAACCAAATTTTTAATTGCGTGTGGATATATGAAAACAGAGGCAGCCTTCAATTAAATCAGTACAGTAATAGAGCTCATCTTAGTTTGTTCACTTAATTTTAGAAGACATATGTCAGGACGATTGGACGTATTACAATGGGTATTGCTATAGAGAAGTCTTGTCATGTGACTCGTGGGAAAATAGTCAGGAGACATGTGCTTCCCTGGACGCAAATCTTCCCAGCATACACAGCAAAGAAGAAAACGTATTTGTTCAAAGTCTACACGGCAGTACACAATCGTGGCTGGGTCTGTCGGATAATTTCACCGAAGGTTCGTTCGTCTGGAGCGATGAGACCCCTTTAGACTTCCATTACTGGGCAGAAGGACAACCAAACAATTTGCACAACCAAGACTGTGTTCACACTCTTGGTTTCTTTAATGAGTTTACTTGGAATGACGTAAATTGTACAGACTGCCACGGATTCACTTGTAAGAGAGGTTGGTGTTAACTGGATCAAAAGCCCCTTGCTATATCCTGGTGGGTGCTTGAGACTTAGCCTCAAGAGAGACTCAATCCTTCGTAAACAAAAAACCGGTATAAACGGGGTTACAAAAAGATCTAAGGTTACCATTTTTACTCGATGGAAAGTGATATTGTGCAAATATGGTATATTTTTGATAGATTGAGCAGAATTACTTTTCGTCCGAAATATGTAAAACATACATACTTATTGAAAATCATGTACATGAACTGCGGTTGAAGAAACGAATATGGAAGCGATCCTCGCAGTTATGAACATAACTTAAGTAGTAGTGAAAATAAGGCCTGAAAAAATTCAGGCCTGTGCGGGCTGTAGAGCGATGCACCAGTTCCGGAGAGGTCATGGGTTCAAATCCCGTACAGGCCTGAATGTTTTTTTTCAGACCTTATTTTCACTACTACTACTACTACTTAAGTAGTGTTCATAATTGCGAGGATCGCTTCCATATTCATATATAGTTATTTTACATAAATGCTTTGCTTTTGATTACTATTTTACCTCCTCGTCAACATGAGGTTATTTAAACTGGAATTATTATTATTCTGATCATTGCTATTATTATTATCTCTTTTTATCCAGATTACAATGAGTGCCAATATTTCGCTGACTCCTGTCCAGCAGGTGCGACTTGCGTGAACAGCTATGGTTCCTTCACTTGTGTATGCCCCACTGGATATACCTACGAAGAGGGAGACTGTCTAGGTTTGTACTCTTTTCTGTATCGGTCGTTAAAACACTGGACTTCGCGTACTTCATTGCCACTTTTTTGGGGGTGCTAGGTAGGGAAATGTTATGGGAGGGGAGTCTAAGTTTTCCATCACCCCGTAATGGTAAGATAAAGTAAAACTAAGGGCTTTGACTAGTTTTCAACACGAGTTCTTGGTCTAGCGGTTGGGATGAACAAAGTGGGCATATTTTTAGTTATAGTAAATACTAGTTCAAGCAGTATAAATACCCTTTGAGAATATCTGGGTTGAAAGGTCTTCTAGCCGATATAAGAGGCAACATGCCTTTACATAAAGGTTTATCCTTTTTCAATCGTTATGCCGATGAAAAATTAATAAATTTTATTTATTATACAAACTACTGTGTTATACGAGGATTTCCAGCATTGAAAAAAGCCGTGACAACACAGGTGAAAAAATCTCGTATTTTTTTACGTGTGTTTGATATCGCCAGTC